TAAGATTTCCCTCAGTATTCGGATTGATGCATCCAACACGGCTGTCAGACCTATCTTACAACAACACATGAATGACACATGGAGACCTCTAGCGTTCTTTTCGAGGAAGCTGTCTGTATTTGTAATGCCATATACAATACTTGGTCGCGATTCCATAGCATCTATGCTTCCATCCACCCCCTACGGCACCTTGTTGAAGCTGTGAGTTTACTGATTCAAATGACCACAAACATTTGACTTATGTCCTTCCATCCACCAAAGATAAATACACTCCACTTGAAATATGTAACCTGAACTACACTCCACAATCAACCTTCGATTTACGACATGATTCTCCTGAAAACAAACATTAAGAAGATTGCATGTCAAGAATTTCCCGCAGGATAAATGAAGAGCTAAAATGTTGACGGGCCCTACTTGTAAGATTTCGTAATTCATAGAAAAATCGTTAACAAACAAGTGAAACATGCTAAAAAAATATTGTGTTAGGCTCATTCAGTTAGGCACTAGATATACGAAGCATTTCGTCTAATGATTTATGGTGTGGCTGACTATGGGTGAAAACACATAAACTTTAAAATTAAATGAAAGAGGAAATAACCAACTTACAGTCAAAAATTACGTTATCAAGGTTTAATATTATTTATCATCATTATTCATTTACTAATAACGTTTTAAAAACATTCGTCTAGACTTTCTGAAGGGCTTCTTGGAATTCGTGATCTGTTTTCTAAAATGCCTAATTGCTGGTATCAGGTGAAGTGATCTGAAATTTAAGTAGGTGTTGCATTGTGACAGGCTTTTGAAGGCACTGGTATATAAGCACATATAAACTACACAGTGTACACGAGATCAGATTTGTTTTCAGTTCAAAGGTGAACATCGTGAATTAGCTATGTTAGATTAGAAAACTACATGAATAGAAAAATTACGCTTATATACCAGCATCTATGCGGACCTGTTACATTCCTATACGTAATTCCCTTTTACGTAATCTCACCCATATATCTGAGAAGGGAGACCTGGTTAAGTATTTAAACTACTGGGGAGGAACTCTGAGTAGTAGATCGTCCAATTTAAAAATAAAGAAGTGATTCAAATAAATGACACATTTCTACTAAATAGCTATCTTCTACAGTTGTAACAACGGAGGACAAGGGCCAGGCAACAGATCGTTTATTAAGGAAATCAACACATATTTATAGATTTTCATGTACATATTATAGATTATTGTTAGCAGAAAAACACAGTCTTCTGATTGGTTGTTTCTCACAGAAAGTTAACCTTGCATCTCTTTGTGGCTGTTTCTTGAATGTCAGATCATCTATATGTTAACTGCATCCGCCTACGCAAAGCGGATCACGATCAATATTGGGGACATAAACATTACGGTAAATTACTGTCCCCCAACATTGGCTAACAACCAGCTCCCACCACATAGTTAGTTAAGGAATTCACAAAACTCTCATAAAGTAAGAGATGCAGGTGACTATATTGAATACGATGAAAATTAGAAAACAATATTCGAAATCCTACGCGGGACTTTCAAGGGCAGAGGAATTACTGTAGTATTGAAACCTACATGCTCACTCAAGAACAAACTTTTTAGTCTCATGGATTCTGTTAACCCAATTGGACCTGGCAACGTAGTTTACTGGACATCAGGCAATGATTGTGATTTCAAGTACAGAGGCCAGTAGATAATGATCACTAAACTTGTCAGAATATACTATTTGCCTAAGTATAGAATGACGTGACACGGAAAATTCCCACCTATTTCAGTGCATGCGACAAAACTAAATTGCACATTCGATTGAAATGACTCGATATTTGCATCAGAAATACGGGAATTATTACTACTGAAGGAACTTCTCCTAATCCATTAGTTTGCTGGCATTATAACCGTTCCCAAGCCCGGAAGGGAAAAGACAAAGGGTTGGGTGTAGAGCTAGCGATACTACCCCGGTAAACCAATCAGACAACTACAGAAACTTCAATGCACAAGAAAAATATTGAAATAACAAAAATATAAAAAGAACAAACCGATTTTTCGCTGGAATCGAGGAGACGAAATGACGTGGGTTGGTGAAAACCCACCAGAATCCAATCAGGCGATTCGTCTTCCTTCGACGAAAGCAACAGTAAGCATTGGGGTGTGGAATCTTCGTAAGATGTACGAAGCTGGGAAGACTGACCAGATTGCCAAAGACATGGGAAAATGCATGAGAGTGCTAGGAGTCTGTGAGATCAGATAGAGTGGACAGTGAACAGTCAACAATCTACTCCGGTCACACAGACGACAATGACGAGCACACTGTAGGAGTGTCTATCGTGCTGTTAGCGATAGCAACCAAAGCTCTTGTACAGTAGGAAACAATCTCCTCCTGCAGTCTAATGACATCAAGATTCAATTAAAAAGGAATGAAGGAAGATTACAATTATCAAATGCTACACACCTAAAACCAACTCAGAACAAGAGATAAGGAAGAATTATGTAGACAACTGCAAACAGTAATGCATAACATCCCAAATGGCAACATCCAAATCCTTATGGGCGATATGAATGCTAAACTGGGAGCAGAAATTGCAGGAAGAGAACTCATCATGGGTGGAGAGGCACCGGCGAATGATGATGCAGAACTCATCGAAGACCTCTGCGGATTCAATGATATGGCGATTGACGATAGCGTTAGGAAGCATGAGAATATACACAAGGCGACATGGATCCCATCCGACGGATACATCAAAAGTCAGACGGACGTGATTCAAATCTCAGGAGAGTAGGGACACAGTCTGTACAGTACGAACACAAAGTCGAGAAGGGGAGCAGATGTGGGCTGCAAACATCAGCTATTTCTAGAAACCTTCAAGGTGAAGCCAAAATCCATGAAAACAAATGGAGACAGGTCAAAATCTAAGTTCAACATTCAGAAACTGGAGGAAAATTCACAAAAGATGCCTTCACTACAGATTAGTTCAGAACAAAGTCGGAGACACTACGTGTTATCGACGAGAAAACCTGCGTAGAAGGACACTGGGACTCTCTGAAAGTGATGTTCGAGGAAATGCGAACAACCGTATTAGGAAGAAAGAAGAGACAAGGCAAGGGATGGCTCTCAACAGACACCTGGGAGCTAATAGAAGACAGGAGGGTGCTGAAAGGGAAGATTACTCAATGCAAAGACGGACAACAGAAGGGGAAGCTGAGTTCAATGTGCACCGCACTGAATAAAGAAATGAAGAAGATTGTTAAGAAGAACGAAAGAAATTTCTACGACACACTGGCCGGCAACTGAAGCAGAACAGGTGCGTCGCAGGTAAAACAGACCTACGGACGTTATATCAGATAACCAGGCCTCTATCTGGGAAGAGATAAACCCAGATGATGAAACCAATGGAAGATGTTCAGGGGAACCTAATTACCAAAGAGGAGAGACAAATGAAATGATCAATGGGCTGATCACTTCAAAGGACTCTTACATCGACCGTCATTTGTATTTCGTCCAGAAATACCACCAGTATCATGTCTAGACCTGCCAGTAGACATTGGGACCCTCTGAAGCTGATGTTTGATGACATGTGAACTGACGTTTTGGGAGGAACGAAGAGACAAGGCAAAGGATAACTCTTAATTGACACTTGGAATATAACATAATAGTGTCTTGTGAAACGTCTAGCGCAGTGATTGTTTCATTTGTCTCCCCTCTTTGGTAATTAGGTTCCCCTGAACATCTTTCATTGGTTTCACCATCTGGGTTTATCTGAAGATATATCTATTCATAGATCTAAACCTCCCCCCTGTGTATTCGAAATCTATTTAGTATTACTCTTAACTTACCTTAGTAATGCTTATCTGATTGGATTACCAAACGTTGTGTCAGTCATTCTTAAATCCTGTTTTTCTCACTTTGTTTAATTTAATTGCCCTTCATATTTTAAATAAAATTTATTTTTTATATTTTTATTATAGCCTGACTCCACACACTATTTTTGGTACAAGTATATAATTTTCAGCATGTGATATCGGTAGCCCAAATTTAGCAGACCGATCATTGGCATCAGGTGTGCGTTTGCTGGGGATCGAACTCTGAAACATGTGCATGATCGGTGAGCGTCCTAACCGCTATGCCACCGACGCAGTGACTTGACAAGTAAATGCGTGATCAGATCGTCCGAAATGTATGGCACAAATACATCACATTTTTCAGATAATCTGTAGTAATTTATTGTAGTCGTAGTATTAGTATTTCAAGATGACCGAATTACACGAATCCAAACAAAACAAAGAGAGGGCAGAATTCAGGAATTTGTATTTAGCGGAATTATTCTGCCATTCATATAAGAAACATATTAACAGTCAACAGTAAGTATTTAAACAATACAGAGATAGAAATTGTCAATCACCACATAATCTCTGTTTTCTAATAACACTATCCAAACTAATGAGATTACTGTGATATAATCCCATCCATCAAATACACTTAGACGGAATTAGTAGAGATATAGGGAACAGTACTTGAATGCTGATGTCACTCACCTACGTCTCGCGTTTTGTAATACAGTCAATGTCGATAACATTATTAAATCTGGTGGTAAAACGTCCGATTCCCAATATAAGTCGTATATAATTATTTATCTCCACTTTGAAGTATATGTTTACATACAAACATGTTTTGTCGTCATAAATGAAAGTGTCGATACCACAATAACAGGTTTACCTGTAGCCTTCAGAAACGTATAAGAGGGGTATTGTGTATTGTGTAATTTTGTCAGCAACAATCTACGAGAGGAGTCTGAAATACATACTATAAAGCATTTGAGCTGACATTCATGCAATTATATCAAATAGTTGTGAGATCACTCAGTAACAATGAATAATGAAGAAGCAAGCAAGTTCTGAGAAACTACGATTTCGAAAACTAGGAATGTACGTATTAAAAATAACTATGCCAAATGGAACGTATCTTTAATTTGAAGAAAAACACTAATTATGACCGAACCAGAAGTAGAATAAAAATAAATCCATCAAAGACACAAATGTTATGGTTGCAGAGCATGCTCTAATTGGTTAAGTACATCAAAATACATCCCAAAACTGTTCTGTAATCACTTTAGGTAATGAAATTATGATTATGAATGCACAGATAAACGCATCCACATACACACATTTTTGTCTTCTAACAAATCATATCATGTTTTAGTGTGAATGTATAACCATAACAAATTCAAAGTATAACCAACGTTAGACGCAAATTTACGTAAATTTATTGACAAAATGTATGAGTAAAGGAAAACAGAATTAACTTGAACTTTATACACCAATCATATATTAATAACATCACTGCATAAACATACGCAAAAAATATAAATTCGTTCTACTCTTTTGAAATATTTAAACAGGTTAACCATATTTTCTGCGTTTACTGTTAACTATGGAAGGCCTCTTCAAACTGCACCTTGTGGGTGCTGTTCTTTCTTATATTTTGATTAGTAACATATTCTGTGAAGGAAATAAACTTGAAAATCAAATTGACATTAATAATAAGAAACTCAGACACGTTCATCTGGTATTTCGACATGGAGACAGATCACCAATGAATCAAGTACCAGAAATATATGAAGATTTTGAGAGTATTTGGCCAGAAGGAACTGGTAAACTAACAGATATCGGAATTCGACAACAATATCTTCTCGGCAGATGGCTACGACGAAAGTACGGAAACTTTATCCCTGATAAATACAACAGTTCAAGCTACTACCTAAGGAGTACAGACAAGGATAGAACTTTGATGTCCGCGATGGCTAATTCTGCTGGTTTTTTCAGCTCATCTTTCTCGCCTCTTGATGAATTCGATCTACATTGGTCACCAGTACCTGTTCATACTGTGTCACAAGTAAGTTTATTAAATAAGTCAGACAGTTTTGTGGTAACTAAGATAAAACGTAAATACAGTCAGTAATAAAAATCATGTTTGAACAAAACTTGAAAGGATAGTGAACGATACACTATTTCTGCTTAAGATCACATAATTTCATGGGAAAACTGACCTTCTCCAAGTAAGCTTTTAGTCTGTCATTCATCAGGTCCAGTGAATTCACTTGAAGAAATTCTTATTTATTCTCATAGAATTAATGTAGTCGGTATTTATCATATACGGTCTACTATTGTTTATTATTTAGAGAATATAAGCCGTGGTTCTTCAGAAAGAGTGGGTAACTCATTTCCAACAATAGTATGATCATGCTGAATGTGATAACGATTGCTACATTGGGAATTGAACAACTCCTAGTGGACTACTGCAAGATATCACAATCTGTAATCCCAAGAAGACCTTGTAAGCATAGGCATTATCTTAACTAATTTTTTGCAAGCTGTTAAATTTAGTCTCCATCAGAAGAAATAGATTAATTTATAATTCGTTCAATGGTGTATTACATTGAGTATTGTAGAAAAATAGCTTAGTGATATTATTTGTGCATCCATGTTAAAACTTTTCATACCTAGAGATTTATATATTTATATGTTTTGATTTCCCGACGAAACCGTTAGAAATTTATCTAGTGATTATTCTGTGGTGTGAAGGTAATCATTATTTTAATACATAGTTTACAACCAATTTATCAGTTTAAAATTAAGTTCATCGAGAATCCATACTCCTTATGAGTTCTGAACTGCGAGGACATGGTCCCACATTGTACCCTAGTTTGATTATTCCCTAACTGGTTGTTTAATAGATTTCAGAATACCATGTATACATAAAAATACTCCACTGTGTGCTTTTCAACAACAGGATACCGATATGTTCCTGAGTATGGATGATTGCCCACGTTTGAAAGTACTGAGAAAGCTGAAAATGTATTCTCCTGATTCGATTGAATTTGAAAAAAAACACAAGAAGCTGTTTCAAATACTAAGACGTGCTACTGGTTTGCGTGTGAATCGATTTACCATTGGAGAAATCGCTGATTTTTTGAAATGTATGAAAGGTAGTAATGTTTCTCTACCTGAATGGTGCACAGATGAAGTGCTGGATGAGATCTATGAGGTTCAAAGTTTTTACTGGAAGGTAAGTTACGAGAAATAATTATTTTACTTTATTCCTCGGTTTCAAGTGATAAGATCACCACAGACAGTGTTTGAGTTTCCTTTCCGTGAGTAATAAACACTTATGCAAACTCATTCGGCAAATAAAACTAGCAGCTTACGAGCTTACATCATACTGAGCACACTATATCTTTTAGAGGACTTGTTAAAACTGTACAGCTTAAAAAATAGGTCAGTGACAAATTACTACTTAACCTTGTTGATCTGATCAAATTTCACACAACACTCATCGTAGGCTTATAACATTTTTGACACAATACAGCATTAGAAAGTGACTCTTTAGAATTTACGGTATAAGAAATGTTTTTGAAAATTTGCCATGTAGTGATTCCGTTAACAAGAAATCTTTCTTTGAAGTAATTCATGTTTGTTTGTGTGTTGTAACCTGAACTAGTGAATACGAGAGTAAAGTATTTCATTATTCAACTTCTCAACCTATGCCTGAATAGCTTCAGAATTATGAAATTTAAACAAACCTGTCAGAGAAGTAGATTTTAATTCACTACGTTCGACGAAACTTCGTTACTCGGGTGTTCAATACAATCATTGTGAAAGGTCACATGATACTTTAATGAATCATAGATAGACATAAGTGAGTATTCTTAATTAATATCAGAAGAGTTAATGATAAGTAAAATTTGTGTTTTAAATCTTAAGTGGTTGGGATTTTTATTTCAATGAAAACATTGTTACATTTATCAGCTAAAGTTAGTCGATAGTCGACATATAATAAATCAGAACGACGAGCTCTGTGATGGCAGAAATTTCACTTCCAGGATTTGGTCGCAGCTTATGTATATCTTTGGGTAGATAACGTTGCTGAACACCGCAACGTTTTCAGATAACATGTAGTAATTTATTGTACTTGAAATATTAATATACCGGGATGACGGAATTATAGGAATCTAAACAAAACCCAGAGAGGGCAGAATTCAGGAATTTGTATTTAGCGGAATTAGAATGCAATTCATATAAGAAACATATCAACAGTCAACAGTAAGTATTTAAACAATACAGAGATAGAAATTGTCAATCACCACATCCGCCACACCTCGAATATCTCCTCGCGTATTTATAACGATGTCTCGGTTTGCTTGCAAGTAGCTGCGACCTAACTGATTCTGTGATATTATTTTCATCAGTATAATCTGGACTTATTTCTGAATTATCTACAAAATCAGGATTATTAGCGGAATCAATAATATTATAATTGGAACGACCTACTTCATTTATTGTCACTTTGTCCAGGTGTCCGTTATGAACTGAGTGATCTTTGATGTCTAATATCTTCACCACTCGATTTCCCATTTTTTGTAGTATAATTCCAACAGAAGGTCTATAGTCATTACCTTTGTAATAATGTACATTAGAAGTCGTGGACATCAGATGCTTTTTGAGAATTCGAGATTTGAAACGTTTTGCAGGACTTTCACGGGTACTTGTATGCTCTGCATTCGACAGACGCAGTCTATGCATATGCAGTAATTCCTCAATTTTAATCAGTTGCTCTCTCATCTCATTCAGGTCTTTTCGTGTTTTCGACAGTTCACATTGTAACTCGGCTACCTCATTTTTGAAAACAGTTGACACTTGAGTTGCCGAACTTGTAGTGGAGGTTTTCATTGGATTAGCTTGAGTATTTTGAAAGGTTGAAAGACACATTGACTCCATTTTACTAGACAGCTTGGGAGAATTATAAGAATGTTGAGCAACATAAGTATTTGAACTTCTGCAAACCGTCTTGATGTGTCCAACTTTACCACATTTATAACACTTAGCACCCCGAAAACGGCAAGTGCTTCGTAGATGTAACTTTCCACAGGAAAAACACGGTTTAATGTTTTTGATCTCTCGCTGCATTCTATTACCTGTGGACGACGGTTTGGATTGCTTTCCATGACCACTTGTATTTTCGACTTTAGAAAGCATGACATCAGACACTGACGTAGTGGGAGCAGAGTATTCATTATGGACATCTTCATATGTAATACATACCTCTTTAGCAGTTTGAAAAGTACAAGAAGGAATCTGAATTAACTCTTTCTCTAATTTAGGAATATTGATTCCAGCAATTAGACGATCACGTAGTTGAGTATGCAGCTGATCTCCAAAGTTAAACTTTGAAGCTTGAATTTGAAGTTGAAGAATAAATTCTCGAATCTTCTGGTTGGGAGAACGTACCAGTTTGTTGAAGTGAGCCCTCTCTCTCGTCTCAAAAGTAGTTACATGGAAATGATCTATAAGAATTTCACGGAGCTTAGCATATGACAGAGAAATAGGTTTATCTGGAAACGCCATATTCTTCACTAGGCTATATGCATCAAGCCCAATAGCAGTGATGAAATGAGCAGGTATTTTATCATCCCGAACATTCTTGGAAATGCACCACGCATCAAAGCATTCCAAATAATCAGCAATCTCCCGCGGAGAACCATTAAGAGGAAATTTTCCCAGGTTATTTAGCTCCATCGCGATGCCAATTTGTAGTAATTTATTGTACTTGAAATATTAATATACCGGGATGACGGAATTATAGGAATCTAAACAAAACCCAGAGAGGGCAGCAATCAGGAATTTGTATTTAGCGGAATTAGAATGCAATCCATATAAGAAACATATCAACAGTCAACAGTAAGTATTTAAACAATACAGAGATAGAAATTGTCAATCACCACATAACATTTCTAAAAAGTTCCGAATGAGCGTACGAAGTAAGTTCATATTGGTCATCATAAGTCGTGAGATATTGTGAAGGCATAAACAACAGAAAACATTGTTATGAATATAAGCTATTTTAACCCATTCTATATTCTGGATTTCCAATTATTTTACAGCATCACATAGTGTCATACTATGAGGCAATGAATACATTTTGAGTAATGAATCGAGTTTGAATGAAATGAAGATGTTAATATCAACAGATTTCTTTTAATGGTCAATGTATTATTTTTTTAATATAGATCATCTGTCTCATTCTGACTATAAATATTGTAGACAATTTAGTTAAAACTGGGTTTTTAGACAATGGTTATTATTGGAATGGATCAGTTTTCTTTATTTTAGCAATGGTAATGGGTATGTAGGAAAAATTATAGTATGAAAAATGTCCCTAAAGAGGATCAGTAATGCTGAAGTTTCGTGCATAACGATTGTGTGCCTGTAAAAGATATTCTTAATGTCAACAAGTTATTTATTTCCAGATATTCCCCCAATTAATCTACAAAAACAGTGGAACTCAATATTTACTCCTGAATTCGAGCGTTTACACTCCATTCTATTTTATCTAAGCTATTGTATAGTGTTTGAATTACTATTTGAAGTTTAGAAATGTACCATTATTATAATACGTTAAATTGTACACTTAGAATCAATGTTTCTATTACTACTGACGACATTTTTGGTGCATACATCCATGTATGACTGCATTATAATTCATCATATTTTACATGAGTGGTTGGAATTCATTTATTCAGTCATTATTTTCCAACAAACAACAAACAGCTATGTCATTCGTTTCAGATCAGTGTGCTTCGACTTAGGAAACTAAGGGAACTTAATCTGCTTACAGCATCCAAACAGCAGCTACCTGCGGGTCGCATGTGAGATTTTTATCTGATGATATCTACCAGCAGAATATATATATATATAATATATATGTATAATTTGTCATTTTCTGCTGTTAACAGTTAGGGAAAATGGGCTGTCATTGGGGAGCCTCTTTCGTCTCTGGAAGCGGTAACACACTATGAATTGGAAAATGCTAATATGGACTTGTATTCTCGCTGAAAATCACACTTTACTTTTTACTAATAAAAAAAACAGGAATTTTCAAGATAATACACCTGTTTTAAAGCCTTATACTGTCGTAAATACTAGACACTAATCAATATTTACAGTAAGTGCAAATGCCTTGTAGTTCTAAGTGACTGAGAAAAACCAAATTTTACTTATTTAGTAATTAGAGCCTATTTATTTATATGGTTTCAGAAAAAATATGCTTCTTCAACTGAGATTATTCGTCTTGAAGCTGGACTAATTCTTCACAACTTCATTAAATATATGCGTTCACTTGTCAGAGGAAAACTTATCAGCCCATCTGAAGATATTCCAATGTCTAAGAATCATATGGTAGCCTATTCAGCTCATGATACTGATTTGACATATATTCTAGCCGCTCTTGGTGTTTTTGACAACAAAACTATTGAGTATGCGGCTGTTGTATCATTGGAAGTCTATGGACCATCGAAACCAGCGGATGAAAGTCGATTTATCTTAAAAGTCTTTTACAAAAGAGGTTGGGAAGATGAAGATGGTGAATACCTATCATTGCCAATATGTGATAACTCGCAGTTTGCTGATGGATGTCCCCTGAATATTGTCTTTCAGCACCTTGAAACACTGGCTATACATCCACGCATATATGCAAGTGAGTGCTCTTCTGGTCTTGCTAAATTAGACAGTCAGGCAACAACAATATTAAGTACAAAAGTAATTGTGTTTTTCACTATCTTTATGTTGTCCTTTGTGCTGATATTGTTATTCTCTATGTTTGCAATGCGTTCGCAACAAAAAATTCAGGAAGAGGTTGTTGAGGAACCAATGCTAAAAAAGTGAGGTACGCTTCTACTAATATATTTTACTTGTATTTGACAAAATCTTTAAATTATTATCTCTTAACTGACTTTTGTGCTTATTCTACTCAGAAATGTTTTCTCCGGTACATCATACAGTGAAATTACCTTAAACCGCAATTTTGTATGAAATTAAGACCTTTTGTAATCATTGGAATTTAATGCAGTATAATAAACTTTTTAAAACAAATCTTGGTTGTTTTCGATATATTGATTGCTAAAATTTTCACTTATGAATGTATATACTGATATCCTTTGGTTTCAGTCGCATGATCCACCGGCAGAAAATAAATCAATTAGGGAAATAAATTGAAATAAGCATTTTTGTGGCATCAGACAGTCTTTATCAAAATCAGAACCTAGTGTGTCCTTAGAATTATTTAATTGCGGATTTCGAACGAATTAGATTATTAACGTAAAGGTTTCTCCAAACTTTCGAATTCTTCTTGCTGATGAGCTTATAAAAGCAACAAAACAATATCTACCATGCATACTATTTGAAATCAGTTCCAATAGTGCAACAGGACTTAGAATGTTTTCGTAGGGGAATAATGGTAGTTATGATGATGACATTCGAGTCGAATGAAAAAATAAATCCTACCACGGTATCTTACATGTCTTACATAACTTTCGAATTTCAGTTTGCTGTAGTCAATTCCTAAGTTTATTCTGATTTGAATCTCTTTTATGAGGCTTATGTCAAAATAATTTTTTTCATAATGTATCACACTGACGACTAAATCTGGCCTTCATGAACCACAGAAATCGGTTACTGTTACGCATGTGAAATGAGCAGGCTAACTACATGGGATACTAAGAGTATACTCAGATGCACTAATGCAACAGTTATATTTAATTCTTCCTTTCCTTCGATTCTAGTTGACAAACGAAACTCTTTGTTTTTTGACTCTGTTCCTCGGTGATCTCCAGATAAAACTACGTATTAATCTTTTAAACAAAAATCTCCTCATATACAGCAGTCTTCTGATTAACGGTGACTTACCATGAAAATTTATTCTCTAGCCACTTAGTTAGCATCTTGAAGTAATAAATTTTAGCCAGAAAAGCTTTGACTTATATATTAGCAAAATAATGCGGCATGGGGTAAATCCCTAGTTATAAATGATGTCCATTTCTTAATTTTATTGTCAATTATGTCTAACTGTTCAGTGTGATAAACATGTACTAGTGTTATGTTTTCATTACACTGCATTACTACACAAGAAAAACAGACAAAAGGAAGTAGTTACTAATCGAAATGCTAAAAATCATGTACTCATGTAAACGAAACATTTATGTTATGAATCAATCAAGATGTTTTGACTAAAGTGACAAGCTAACAATTTCTAATCACCCATGTCATTTTACAAAATATAACTTCAGAATATAACCTGTCTTTGGGTTCACATTATTTACCTAACAAGTACATGTAAAATGATTAATAAAATTATAGACATTCGATATCCTTAAAACGAAAATCTTTATATTAAATCAGATATTATTCTTATGTTCTTCAGCTGCTCAAACTGTAGTAACCTTTTTGACATATTTTCTTTCACTTGAATTATTTTATTTCTGGCAAGATAATTATCTTTTTAATTTAATTCAATTACTATCTGTAAGTTAATAATTATTTCATCAGTCTGCTAGATTAACTTCTAAATAAAGGAGCCCATCTATCTTAATTTGGAGTTCCATTCTATTCAATATCTAAACTAGTAAGAAAAAAACAATCGTGCTATTTCTCACTTCAAACTGAGTATATCTTAAGCAATAGATTACCTGAACTTAGATGAAGATTTTACCACAAAAGTGTCCAAATACTGAGTGTTTAGGGAACAGTAGACCCTAATAAACATTAATTCGAATGTGAAGACTCAAGTCCATCAGTGCCATTGAGTGTAAGTGGCAATGTGTAGTAATTATTTGTAGTCGTAGTATTAGTATTTCAAGATGACCGAATTACACGAATCCAAACAAAACAAGGAGAGAGAGGAATTCAGGAATTTGTATTTAGCGGAGTTATTCTGCCATTCATATAAGAAACATATTAACAGTCAACAGTAAGTATTTAAACAATACAGAGATAGAAATTGTCAATCACCACATCTGCCACACGTCGAATGTCTCCTTGCCTATTCATAATGATATCGCGGTTTGCTTGCCAGTTTCTGCGATCTTCTAACTGATTCTGTGATATCATTTCCATCAGTATCATCTAGACTTATTTCTGAACTATCTGCAAAGTCAGGATTAGTAGCGGAGTCATTATAATCATAATCGGAACGACCTACCTCATTTATTCTCACTTGATCCAAGTGTCTGTTATGAAGTGAATTATCTTCAATGTCTAATATCTTCACCATTCGATTTCCCATTCTTTGTAGTATAATTCCAACAGAAGGTCTATAGTCATTACCTTTGTAATAATGTACATTAGAAGTCGTGGACATCAGATGCTTTCTGGGAATTCGAGATTTGAATAGTTTTGCAGGACTTTCACGGGTACTTGTATGCTCTGCATTCAACACACGTAGTCTATGCATATGCAGTAATTCCTCAATTGTAATCAGTTGCTCTCTCATCTCATTCAGGTCTTTTCGTGTTTTCGACAGTTCACATTGTAACTCGGCTACCTCATTTTTGAAAACAGTTGACACTTGAGTTTCCGAACTTGTAGTGGAGGTTTTCATTGGATTAGCTTGAGTATTTTGAAAAGTTGAAAGACACATTGACTTCATTTTACTAGACAGCTTGGGAGAATTATAGGAATTTTGAGCAACATAAGTATTTGAACTTCTGCAAAAGGTCGTGATGTGTCCAACTTTACCACATTTGTGACACTTAGCACCCCGAAAACGGCAAGTGCTTCGTAGATGTAACTTTCCACAGAAAAAACACGGTTTAATGTTTTTGATCTCTCGCTGCATTCTATTACCTGTGGACGACAATTTGGATTGCTTTCCATGACCACTTGTATTTTCAACTTTAGAAAGCATAACATCAGACACTGACGTAGTGGGAGCAGAGTATTCATTATTGACATCTTCATATGTAATACATAAATCTTTAGCAGTTTGAAAGGTACAAGAAGGAATCTGAATTAAATCTTTCTCTAACTTAGGAATATTGATTCCAGCAATCAGACGATCACGTAGTTGAGTATGCAGCTGATCTCCAAAGTTACACTTTGAAGCTTGTATTTGAAGTTGAAGAATGAACTGTCGAATCCTCTGGTTGGGAGCACGAACCAGTTTATGGAATTGAGCCCTCTCTCGTGTCCCAAAAGTAGTTATATGGAAGTGATCTATCAGAAGTTCACGGAGCTTACCATATGTCAGAGAAATAGGTTTATCTGAAAATGACAGAGTCTTTACTAGGCTATACGCATCTAGCCCAATAGCAGTGATGAAATGTGCTGGTATTTTGTCATCCCGAACATTCTTTGAAATGCACCACGCATCGAAGCATTCCAAATAATCAGCAATCTCCCGCGGAGACCCAATAATGGGAAATTTTCCCAGGTTATTTAGTTCCATCGCGACGCCAATTTATAGTAATTTATTGTAGTCGTAGTATTAGTATTTCAAGATGACCGAATCACACGAATCCAAACAAAACAAAGAGAGGGGAGAATTCAGGAATTTGTATTTAGCGGAATTATTCTGCCATTCATATAAGAAACATATTAACAGTCAACAGTAAGTATTTAAACAATACAGAGATAGAAATTGTCAATCACAACACAATGTTTCCTAAAATAACAGTCATTAGAATTTGCTAGCTTTTGGATTAATGCCCAATACTAATGTCAATTAGCCCACCATATAACTTGCCAACTATTAGTTCCAGTGAAAGAAACCTTTCTCGTAATCACTTAAGTCCTATTTTCCAGACTACATTTGTGCGCGAGATAAGAAAATGAAAATAGAAAAAAGGATGAACATACCCAGTTGTAGCTGTGTGCTCAGGAAAACTCTACCAAGAAAAAATGCCTCGGTTATACTGTCTGTCAGACACAGCAGAGATAAATAAGTAATAGCAATTACAATTTGTACTTTTTTGATGGATTCTGAGTGAAAATAAAACTAGAAGTGAAGGCTTTCATCAGTGCTGTTTTTCCTTCATTGTCTGGGGCACCGGGTTACATCATCTCTCCTCTTTTGCATTCAAGCTGTTAGAATAATAATATTATTGCCAGTAGCTTTATTATGAATAGTGTTTAAGTAATATACAGAATTTTCAACGGAATTTGTTGTATGATATTTCTTATTCGTCCAGGATCTTCAGATAAAGTACTAACTGACAGCAGATAGCGTGACATAATGCTCTCTGGACTGAAGCGCAAACCAATCCATTATGATATTTCTTCTTCCTGTCCTTCGAAAACTGAACGACGTTTGTTTGAAAATCAAATATTTAAATATACAAATATACCCTCTTACCAATCTTCAACCCCCTTGTTTGCGATGTGATTATTCATCACATTTTTGAAATGCCTTGACAACAATAACCCTAACTTATTTTTATTCTTATCGAACAGATCTTATGTACACACATACAAAAATAAGAATATATAATTGATTCACGCCCGAGCGCACCCGATTAGGGTCAGTCGTGAGTTTCAACTCACCGAGGCGCACTGGTGAGCCTTCACCCGGGGTCAGAGAACTCTTGATCACTCTGAACCCGGCGCTAGGTATAATTATGATGAGCGATAAATTGTGCTCGAAACGTCATCAGTAAATATTACTGTATAACACTGTGAAACTTTATCAAAATAAATTTTACCCATGATGGTATATTTAATCGCGACTGTACAGCTAAGTGAATGAATTCGCCGAAAAGAGACTCTTCGTTGAACTGCGTGCTTTGTTTTCATAAATATAAAAGTTCAGGAGTACAATTCGAGACTCAAAGACATAACTCAGGAACAGTTATCTTATATATTTGGATAGCTTGACATCCATAACTTTCTTCTCCTTAAATTTAGCGGGAATTAGCAAATCAGTAGGATGTACACATTTTAAATACTTATGAGAGTTGAAAATATCATTAGGAATCATAGTTTAATAGACTAAAACACAGTGAACGAGACAAACTATATGTATTATAGTGATAGAAGCTTTAGTAGCCCAAGTTTTAAACAGATCTCCGTTCACGTAGGAATTTAGTCACCAGG